CGTAACTGTTTGGATCATTTTGCTCAAGTAGTTATCAATGGTTCAGTGTCTAGTTAGGAGGAGATATCAAGTGGCATTCCCTAGAAGTTTGTCCTGGATTTGGTACTGTTCAGCATACTTATTGATGATTTGGATGATAGAATTATGTGCATGCTTGGCACATTTGCAGATGACACCAAGTTGGGTGGAATTGCAGACACTCTGGAGGTCAGGACTAAAATCCTGCATGACCTGGATAGACTGGAAAAATGGTACACAATTAATCCGATGGAATTCAACACAGACAAATAGAAAGGCCTGAACTTGGGACAGAATAAGTGCATGCACATATACAGACTAGGGAATGAATGGTTAGTCTGCAGTACTTCAGAGAAGGACGTGGAGGTGACAGTAGACCGTAAGATGAAGATGAGCCAACAAGTGTGCCAGAGTATAGTGGGTTATTTCAATGGCAATGTGTCTTGCAAATTGAGGAAAGTGGTCCACCAAGGATAAAAACATGGTGCCCTTCTGGCTAGCGCAGTGATTCTTAACCTGGGTGCCAGGGAATCCTAGGGTGCCTTTTAAGGGTGTGTGTGGTATTGCACAATGTTAGCACTGTTAGGTGTGCAAACATGAATCCGAAGCTAAACCCCAAGGTTTTACATGGGAATCCATACTGTTATAAACAATCTGCCCCGTTGTGATCTTTTTCAGTTGTTTGCAACAGCAAAATTGCTGTATTATTTTCCTGTAGCCAAAAAAGAGTCAAACTAAGAGGTTTAGGGTTGTTGGTAATAGCTCTGTTGGTTTAAGGACATAGGCAGACACAATTCATTAGGTAAGTGTGATATCTTTTGTTAGACCAACTAAATAGTTGGAAAAATTGTTCTTTTCAAGCTTTTGGGTACAAAAGCCCTTCTTCAGGCACAGGGAGAGTTTGTTGTTTCTTTGTGTTCTCTCCTGGGTAGAAAGGAAGCTAGTATGTAAAATGAAAGTCTGTGAAAATGCAAATGCATGGCAGGACAATAGGGTAGGAGGGAAAGGAGGGGAGGGGAGGGGAAGAGGGGGAAGAATGAGCTGGTAAAATGCAGACAAGCATACGTGGGGTTATCAGACGGCAGACAGGTTATAATGAGCCATGAAGCCAATGTCTATATTTAGTCCATGATTTTTTGTATCCAGTCGTTTTATGATATTTATTATATTTATCTACCCAGGATAAAATACAAAGAAACAACAAACTCTCCCTGTGACTGAAGAAGGGTGTTTGTACATGAAAGCTTACAAAGAACAATTTTTCCAATTATTTAGCTGGTCTAATAAAAGATATTACATTTACCTAAAGAGCCTTGCCTGAAACTGAGAGCTGGCATTTTCCAAGGGGTGTTTCAAGTCTATCAAGCACTACCTTGAGTCTAAAAAGGTTGAGAACCACTGAGGTAATGTCTCTTATACCCAATGTGAAATTTGCCTGAGCTATAATACTGTAGGTTATGGGCTCAGCCCTTGATATCTACTTTTCTGGTGATTTGGATGTGAAGGGAAGTGCAGTGATGCAGAATACCACTGTATCTGTGGGTTACACAAGTACTGAATTCAGAGTATTTATTTTAGACACTACCTTCAAAGCATGTGGGACTTAATATTTACATTAGGGAACTAGTCTGCATAACATGACCTCATGTTAGCTTTCTGCTGAAATGTGCAAATGATAAATTACACCCCCTTCTCCCTCCCCCAGAACAGACATACCGAGGCCTTAATTCATAGTAGTCATACTGGAATGCATAGAAGGATCATGGCAGTCAGTGGAAGGGTTGAGATTGGGATTCATAGGCTCTGGGTTGGCAGTGTTGTACAGTATTTTGAGTTTCTTTTTCTCTGACTTGGCTCCCCCAAAATTGTATGAATCCTAGAGCTTGTTAAATCATTGTGAGACTGCAAGCAGTAGGGGTCAGAATTGTGTTTATCATGATAGATTTAGCATGTGTCTATTTATGGAGGTGTGTATTGCCCCTAATATTTGGTTTTACATGTGAAAGATGCACAGTCATGTGGTATAACACACTGCTGAAAAGCACTTGAATACTACCGAACAGGTATAAGAACCTGTATCAAAACAGAATACAGTAAAATAGAACAGAGGCTGCATTTCCTGGTATTTATGGATTTTATTTTTGCACTTGTACTGCTTAGTGGCTTGAGCTATTTTCACAATGTGTTATTAATGATTGAACTTCCTATGGTTTAAAATTGTTTAAAGCAAAGAGATTGAAGCAAAGATACAGGCTGCATTGTCACGCAAATCAGTTGGACCACCACAGGGAGCTTCTCTCTGCACTCTGGGTTACATGTTCACCAGATATGCTATATATCAATGGAAACAGACTATATATTTGCCAGCATGACACAAATTCACCCCTTACAAGGCCCAAATTCCATTCTGATCCTTCACCCCCGCTGATTGTCTGCTCCACTTTCTGTTCTATAACCAACGTGCTGCTCTGTTTTTTTCTCCCTGCCCTATCTACCCTGCCCTCTCCTTTGCCTACCACATGCCACATACTGAGGCTGCCCATGCCACAGACTGCTCCTGGCAGAATTGCCCCAGTGCAGCAGACTACTGTGAAAGGCTAAGAATGAGCTCTGCTCTCCTGCAGGCTGTCCTGATGGGGCAATCTGGTACCAGTCAGAGGCAAGAAGACATGTGGCCAGAGCTTTCTGGACCCCTCGCAGTTCCACTAGGGACTGTGGAGTGCAAGCTAAGGCACTCCTCATCCTGGCTTATCCTAACGGAGACTAATCCTATCTCTGCGAGACCCATCACAAGGAACCTACAAAGCTTCCCCTCCTAGCTGCTTAATTCCCAACCCCTCCTAAAGTGCCAGACACTCCCAGATCTATTACCTCTCTGGATAGGCCTGAGGTCCATGGCTTAAACTCTTCCTTGCTAGAAATAAGATCCTTGGACAGCAAGAAGACCAGGATGCACTAACTACTCTGCTTTGACACTAGCCGTGGGTTTAGCTCTATCTCTGGGTAGAACATTCAGATTGTCAGTAAAGAGGCAGGGATGGACACATATGGTCCCCCAGAATGAAGCAGCAGCAGAACATATTCACCCTTCCATCCCTGGGCACTTCTGCTGGGCTCTCATCTTTGCCCTGGGACTTTGACAGGAACAACACCACTATGTCCTCAGTTGTGGAAAGTTTACCAGGGGATGGCTGATGTCTATGACTACTCCTGCTGTAAATACTTTATGGAGACAACTGGAGTGCTACTGCAGCGTAAAGTGGAAAAAGTCATCCACACAGGGATCCTCCAGTGATGACTTTGCTAGGCACTGCCAATATCTGGTCTGCGAGTATCAGTGCTGACTTGTGTTTTGTTCAATTTGTACATCTTTGTGGTAGCCTTGCAGGAAAATCTATTTGTCTAAACAGCATGCCTAACAAGCATGCAGCATTGCATGTGAGTGCATGTTTGTCATGTTTTAGTAAGGTAGGACTCAGAACATCCAGAAAAAAAGCCATTTTTGGAAGTGCTCATTAATGTCTGCCTGACTTTGGAACCAAAGGTGCTTTAGAAACTTCAAGAAAGCTCAGATTGATCATGTTAAGTACTTTTCTCAAAGAATCAGAACCAAACAGAACAAAAATGTTGGAATGGTTCCATGAAAAGGAGTTTTTGATGCAAGCTTGATCACTGTGCTGCCATCAGCGTCTCCTTAGATAGCACCTCCTTTGCTTTCACAGATTTCAAGGTGCTTTGTAAAGAAAGGTCAGTATAAGATAAGTGAAGAAAAATGACTTTCTTAGTATCCTTCAGGGAGTTAAAGGCAGGTCCAAAATTAGAGAACAGGTTTGGCTCTTGGCACTGTCTGAATATGTCTGTATTGAAGAGTTAGGGTGGGCTCATACATGGGTGCTGTTCCTATTGTCCATATACAAGCCCACCTTGTCTAAGTTGGGTAGTGAGTGTTGAGGACAGCTAGCCTGGCTGGGCATGTAAGTTCCGTGTTTTCGGTGTTAAGCAAGCTGTGACCCACCTACATTGCCACTGGATGCCACTGCAGTACTGATAGCCCTCCAGTGCCTTCCCACATTCTACCCCATGTGCCCAGAAGAACAGATGAGTTGTCTGACAATTACTGGGAAAGAATCATCAGCTAAGTTGACTGCAGCACAAAGAACCATGACGTGCCTCAAGCAACACATACAAGTGTGTGCAGCACCACTAAGTATTCAGCTTGGGGTTAATGGTATGGCTCACATGTGGGTGTCAATCACCCAAGTTAGCTCTTCAGTGGAGATACAGCCTCACACTATAACACTTTTGATGCCTTTATTTTTTTTTAAATTCCAGGTGGTATCAGTAACACAGGTAAGGAAACATGTTAAAATGACTTTGGGTCTTAATATTCACTTCAGTAAAATCACTTGGATCCAAGTTTGTTACCAGATTATTGTTATTACTAGCTGGGTGAGTCTACATGTACATTTACTGCACAGTAATTTTCTGTGCAGTAAGCAGTTTCTAGGCTGGGGTCTACACGTGCAGACATTAACACCTTAAAGCAATGCAAAGCAGCTTGCTGGGTGACCACATCAGCCTGCCTTGGTCAGCACCCTGGACACCCCCAGCCCCAGCTAAAATCTCCTCCCCATGGTCCTGCTTTCCATCCAAGGACAGTAGTCGGAGCCAAGCGCATAGGGCATCACCTGCTGCTGGAGAGCTGGAGCTGCAGGTCTGGCAGCAGGGAAAGGCCCCCCCCCCCCGTGACTCCCTTCAGGGGAAGGGGGCAGCAGGGCAGGCAGGTTTGGGGCTGCTGTGTCATCTGTCTGCAGCATCTGATGCTGCTTTCCCTGCCCCAAGGAGTAAGCCTGGGCAGGGTTGGGGCTGTGTCTGCTCCCAGCTGCTGATGCCAGTTTCCCTGTCGCATGTACTTTTGTTCCAGGCATGTGCAGGGCTTCCCTGCCACCAGGACATTGCCTGTGAGAGAAGCTGGGCGCAGCATGAGGGGACTGAGCCACACGGAGCCCCCAGCAGTGCACGCCACTTCTCTCACAGCAGCCCTGCCAGTGCTGCTGCCCCCTTCCCCTGCTGCCGGAACCGTGGCTTCAGCTCTGCAGCAACAAGTGGCATCCAGTGACAGCATGCTGCGCTGCATGGTGGGCTCTGGCCGCTCAGCCTAAGGTGACTAATGCAACGTTAATTGTCTTACAGCGCCTTACATGTCAAGTGTTACTGTGCAGTAAGGCATCTACACATATGTAAATTTGATACCTACATCAAGCAGGTTTCAAATTTGCACCCAACTTAGCATATGTCGCCGGAGTTACTGCACAGTACTGGCAGGCATGTATAGACACAGCTCATCCTGTGCAGTAATTTTTAGGTTACTGTGCAGTAACTGTGCACATGTAGATGTGCCCTCAGTGTTTCTTCTGCTGCAGTTTGCTATTTGTACTCTGGGGGATGTTGGCGGAGGGACGGGGAAGGGATGTGCTCCTCTACTCAGCTTGGGAATTGGTAAACAAGGAAGGTATTCCCAAGCACAAAATACTTAGAAGTATGCATGCAATGAATTAAGGTTAGTGGATGTAGCTGGTATAAAAATCCAAGCACCCAGTAAGTTATTGTAGGTGATGCAATCACTCTGGTATAGTCAGAATGGGGAGTTGATAGGGAAATGAAAATGTGTGTGAAAGAAGGGTAATGTACTAGTTCAGGCAGAAAGACAAGTAATCCGCTGTGTGTTACGTGCTGTCTTGCATGTATACAACTAGAAACAGACCTAAACAGAGGTTAGGTGAGCACTTCATCTGTGTTTGCGTTAGAAGTCCAATAGCATGGAATCATAGAAAAGTAGGGCTTAGAATCCATACAGCATTGGCAATTCCAGCCTGCCCAGTAGTTCACACTATAGAAAAAGGGGAGGCAAAACAGAGCAGGGGGCTACAGACAAGAAAAGTGAGGAAGTAGATTCTAAAGAGAAACTAGGCAAAGGCAAACACTGGAACACCCAATGACTAGATGCCATTCCTAGTGTTGGAGAAAGCTCAGTTTGCTCTCCAGCCACCTGACACTTAATAACCTTGAGTCTAGATTTAATGATATGTGCCTGAAGTTTTGTGTTCATAGTATGTTTATTTATTCTGTGCTGCCTGTGTGTGAATTCCCAGCATGTTGACAAAGAATTTGAAACAATATTGTTCAAGTTGAAAGCTTCAGTGACTTTTGTCCCATGAGGAATGCCAGGAGAGAGCCTTCATTCCAGTCTGCTCAATGGGGCAAGGTTTGCAGGCATCTTACAACAGTTATGGAAATGGAGGTGGGAGGGTGTGAACACCCAGTTCATTTATTTGTGTGACATAAGTGTCATCCTTTGGTTCTGTAGAAATGCTTTTTTAAGTTGTATATATTTGTTTCACTCCTTCATGGTTGTAAAGAAAGATGACCTGAGTCATTTAGCCTGCAGAGAGCTCAGACATACTTCAATATATGATGTCACAGTAGTTCTGGGCAAAGGAATGAGCTCCATTGCCCTTTAATTAACCTGAGTCAGGTGTTAATAGCAAAGTCTAAGAGACACTTTAAAAGTCAGCATTTACCTATTGATTTGCTGCTCATTTAGTAAAGGACTGGGGGAAATTAGAAGTTTCTGTAGGAAAGGAGATGCAGAAAAGAGATTGCCAGAAAAGGGAGAGAGAAACAGAGGAAGGAGCATAGGAAAAGACCCAAAGGCAAAGACAGCCTCAACCGTTATGGGGATGACACTTTCTAACTAAGCAATGCTGAACACAACAATAAGATGCTGAATGCATCTGTTTGCTGAAGAAAGGACATGTTGTCCCCTTGATCCTTGTGCAAAACTCTTGTTGCACTATTTTTGGAAAGGTTGGTCAGAAGAAAGCTCTTAGGAAATAGGACCAGTCCTGACCATATCACCTATGGAGTCATGACTAGATCAGCAAGTCTGCCCTCTACAGAATACAGTGTGGTAACATAGTTTACATTTATGACAGGTCTGTTCCATGCAGGATAATAGCAGAAAAAAATAAATTCCATTTACGGATTGTTACGTCTTTGCCAAATGCTACCTTTGCAAAGCTCCAGTGTCTGTAGATGGTACTTGTGCTAAGAATGGATCCAGGGGTCCCCAGGGGTTGAATAGATGCATTTCACATTACCCTCCCTCACTCCTGTTCATGTTGTAATGTCTATGCTGATGCTCATCTGGGTTTTAAGCTTTTTTCTTTGTTATGTTTATCTTTTTCCAGATGTATGCTCTGAAGCCTTTTGAAATGAATGGTCTGCCCAAGATGGTGCCTTTAAGTTTGCCTTATGAAGACTTCAAAAAGGATGTATCAGACTATAGGGAAAAGCCTAGGATCCTCCAAAGGATAAAAAAAGTTGACTTCTCAACTGTTGTCTTGACTGCTCCTTACAAAGCTGAACCACATCTAGAAATGAATGGAAGATGTGAAGAA